CCTTTAAAAGCATTCCTTAATATTGAAATTTTTAAAAATAATATTACTCATGTTAGCACCAGTCAGATGAGAGCGTGCACTTTCTAACTTCTTAGCTCCGAACCTAGAAGGTCGGAAACTACTCTTTCTCATCAGTATGTGAATACAGTAATACGATGCGTAATAAAAAGACGTGGAGCGCAGCTATAGCTCTTGAAAAAAATATGCATGACAGTTTCTGAACTGATCTCTAAATTGTCAGTATATAATCTGTATAATCTGTATAATCTGTATAATCTGTATATTCTGTATAATCTGAATAATCTGTATAATCTGAATAATCTGTATAATCTGTATAATCTGTATAATCTGTATAATCTGTATAATCTGTATAATCTGTATAATCTGTATAATCTGTATAATCTGTATAATCTGTATAATCTGTATAATCTGTATAATCTGTATAATCTGTATAATCTGTATAATCTGTATAATCTGTATAATCTGTATAATCTGTATAATCTGTATAATCTGTATAATCTGTATAATCTGTATAATCTGTATAATCTGTATAATCTGTATAATCTGTATAATCTGTATAATCTGTATAATCTGTATAATCTGTATAATCTGTATAATCTGTATAATCTGNTTAAATATGTTTTTATAATTATCAGACATTAAATATGTTTTTATAATTATCAGACATTAAATATGTTTTTATAATTATCAGACATTAAATATGTTTTTATAATTATCAGACGTTAAATATGTTTTTATAATTATCAGACATTAAATATGTTTTTATAATTATCAGACATTATACATGTTTTATGTAAAGAGAGGAATTTCATGACAAGGAAGAAAATGTTTACTAATTGATTGAAACGTGAAGCCTAATTTAATCATGCTATTTATATGAACTGGTCGGAAAGCTGAGAAGTTACCTCCCACAATATTGAAACATCTGATATATGAAGCTGTTCATAAGAAAAAAGTGTCAAGTAGAAAAACTGTTACAAATTATAAATGTCAAAGCCCTTCAGAAGAATGATGTCAAATGCAGGAAGCAAAAACATTTCTAAATTTTAGTTTAAAATTGCATCAGGCAGAGGTTATTTTAATGAATTCTTAATTTACATGGTGGACAACCTTTATATATTTCTCAGGTTGAAGAGATTAACAGCTATGATTGTTGACCATAAACCTATCTCCTAACCCCACCCTCACGTAATGTCATCTTTACTAGCCCAAATCCAAACCAAATATTTCTCCGACTCTACCTATCCATCCAGACAAAGGAATATCGAAACAGTGAAACTTTTACTAAGTAAAAGATCAAATCCACAAATAACTTTGCAATCAATAGTTAATTCCACTTAAAAAATCCAGGTTTATATTTTCAGAATTGGTTCCAAATGTTTTAAATTATTCCATCAAAACCCGAAATCCTTAATCACTCCTTTTTACTCCGACACGGAAAACTACTAAGTTATACTTTTAAATATCAAACTCCATTAATACATTATCATTTAATTTTATTATACCTGCATTCTATTGCAGGTATAATAAAATTAATGAAATAATAAAATAATAATTAAATACATCTATTTACTGATTATTTGCGAATACTGTTTCCGAGTTGAGTAGTCTAACTGACTTACAGTCAATCAAGTATACCTGTCCATTTATCAACCGACTTACAGTCAATCAAGTCTACCTATCTATTTATCAACCGACTTAAATTATCGAATTTCCAATCTAATTAGGTAAATTATCCAATTTGCAATCTAATTAGGTAAATTATCCAATTTGCAATCTAATTAGGTAAATTATCGAATTTCCAATCTTATTAGGTAAATTATCGAATTTCCAATCTTATTAGGTAAATTATCGAATTTCCAATCTAATTAGGTAAATTATCGAATGTCCAATCTAATTAGGTAAATTATCGAATTTCCAAAAATTAGGCAAATTATCGAATTTCCAATAATTAGGTATATTATCGAATTTCCAATCTAATTAGGTATATTATCGAATTTCCAATAATTAGGTAAATTATCGAATTTCCAATAATTAGGTAAATTATCGAATTTCCAATCTAATAAGGTAAATTATCGAATTTCCAATCTAATTAGGTAAATTATCGAATTTCCAATCATTAGGTAAATTATCGAATTTCCAATCTAATAAGGTAAATTTTCGAATTTCCAATTATCTCTACCAAACCCTTGTGATCTTCTAATTTAATCTCCTAAACCTAACTCTCCCCATTTCCACATCTCCCTACATCTTCTCTACTATTAATCCCAATCTCTAGTTAACAAAGAGAATGATTATGATAAATTGCTGAGTATTGCAAGACTGTGATTAAAGATATCCTCTGTCCATTGCAAATGTTCTGCATGTTGCACATAAATGCAAATTTCATTTCCGATGGAAGACAAAAGATTATTCCGTGATTAGCTCTTTTGGAAATATTAAATTTACAATTCACATTTTTATTCGCTTGAAATCAAAATGAGATTTTTTAAACAATCCAATTTAATCAATTTAATCAATTTAATCAACAACCTCTTACTAAAACTTTTAATCGTAAAAGCAATAAAGATATTTATTCTGCAAATCATTTAACCAAAGTATTTAATTGGATAAGAAGTTTTTAGTAAATGTGAACTTTACAATATTATACACCTAAAATCACATTTCAAAGATGAGATTACAATTCCTTGGGATCTTTTTCTTTTGTTCCATTATAGAGATATACAATTCCTATTATTCCAATATAATGAGATTGGAACATTTGTTTAAGTATTGTTAATCTTGCACGCTTGATCTGGATATCCATTGTGACCACTTTGAGATAAATACTTAATCCCGAGATTCAAAACATAAAATTAGTTTTTATTTTAAAAATGTTATTTTAACATTAAATCATTTAACAATGTTATTTTAGGATTCACATGTCTGTCTTTGTATTTGTATAATTCCCATGTTTATCTCTCTGTATAACTGACATGCTGGCATAATACAGGAGGACCCATGAAAATTAGGTAACTTTTAGGTTAAATTTTGATTATAAATAGTCCTACAATGTGCAGTGTACACTGATACTTTTCAAACGAAAAGTAGATTTTCAAACTAATGGTGAAACTATCTGCTTTACAACAACACCAAATACACACAAGACAGCTTAAATTTCGTCTCCCTATTCCACAGATATATGGGAACCACTGTATGAAAAATAATATTTATCTCATTTTTGCCTTCCATGTAAACTTTGTTTGTGCTTTCTATGAGTTTTAAAGTAAATTGCAAATACCTCATCTTAGGTTCATATACTCCAGGTCTAGACATACACACTTTAGTACTCTGCCACACCCAGATACTAAACTCTGAAACTAAACCTGATAAAAATTAGGGAGTGGGCACTATAGGCTCATTTCTCTCAGTGTTTATGGTTGAGTATATGTAGTCAAATTTTCTGTAAAATGTACAGGGTTTCCTTCCAGTTTTCTACTAGTTTTCCTCTACTAGGTTTTCTCTATAAGGTTTTACTCTAATATGGTTTCTTTATGAGGTTACGTCTACAGGGTATCGTTTACAAGATTTCCTCAACTAGGTTTTATCTACTAGGTTTTATCTACTAGGTTTCATCTACAAGGTTTCATCTTCTCGGTTACCTCTACAAGGTTTCTTCTACAAGGTTTTCTCTGCAAGGTTTCTTCTACAAGGTTTTCTCTGCAAGGTTTCTTCTACTAGGTTTCCTCTAAAGGGCTTCATCTATAACTAGGTATCCTCTACAAGGTTTCTTCTATAAGGTTTTCTCTACAAGATTTCCTCTACTAGGTTTCCTCTACGAGGTTCCCTCTACGAGATTTCCTCTACGAGGTTTCCTCTACAAGGTTTTCTCTACAAGGTTTCCTCTACAAGGTTTCTTCTACAAGGTTGTCTCTACAAGGTTTCCTCTACGAGGTTTTCTCTACAAGGTTTCCTCTACAAAGTTTTTTCTACTAGGTTTCATTTGCAACGTTTCCTCTACAAGGTTTCCTCTAGAAGGTTTCCTCTAGAAGGTTTCCTCCGGAAGGTTCCTTCTGCAAGGTTTCCTCTATTAGGTTTCCTGTACAAGGTTTCCTCTAAAAGGTTTTTTTCTACTAGGTTTCATTTACAAGGTTTCCTCTACAAGGTTTCCTCTACAAGGTTTCCTCTACAAGGTTTCCTCTAGAAGGTTTCCTCTGGAATGTTCCTTCTGCAAGGTTTCTTCTACTAGGTTTCCTCTTCTAGATTTCCTCTACATGGTTTCCTCTAAAAGGTTTCCTCTACAAGTTTTTTTCTGCAAGGTTAGCTTTATTAGGTTTCCTATTCTAGGTTTCCTCTGCAATGTTTCCTCAAGAAGGTTTCCTCTACAAGGTTTCCTCTAGAAGGTTTTTTCTTCTAGGTTTCCTCTACTGGGTTTCCTCTACAAGGTTTCTTCTTCTAGGTTTCTTCTTCTAGGTTTCTTCTTCTAGGTTTCCTCTACAAGGTTTCCTCTTCTGCAAGGCTTTCTCTACAAGGTTTCCTATTCTAGGTTTCCTCTACAATGTTTCCTCTTGAAGGTATCCTCTAGAAGGTTTCCTCCACAATGTTTCCTCTGCAAGGTTTCCTCTACTGGGTTTCCTCTACAAGGTTTCTTCTTCTCGGTTTCTTCTTCTAGGTTTCTTCTTCTAGGTTTCTTCTTCTAGGTTTCTTCTTCTAGGTTTCCTTTACAAGGTTTCCTCTACAAGGTTTCCTCTACAAGGTTTACTCTACAAAGTTTTCTCTACAAGGTTTCTTCTTCAAGGTTTCCTTTACAAGGTTTCCTTTACAAGGTTTACTCTACAAGGTTTACTCTACAAGGTTTCTTATACAAGGTTTCCTCTATAGATATTCATCTTATTAAATTATTGGATTCTAAAGAACTACTGGTTTGTGCCGCGGGGAAAAAATGAACAATATTTCCACAAAATCTACAGAAAAACTCTGCCATTTAGCCNTCCCTCGATCCCGGATGGTATGAACTTGGTCACCGAAGCTAAGAATTTTATTGCTCATCTGCGCGCAGATCCTTCTCAGTCCAACCAGCTCATCCACACCATGCACAAGGTTGGTAGGATCAACAGAAAATATCAGTATTAGAACCATAATTCGGGTTCGGATATCTAGTATTCGAACCATACTTCGTTGGGTTCAGATTTTAATGGTTTCTTCTTTAAATTTAGCTCTCCTCTGTTAGGCTCTTTAAGTTCAGTTCTCCTTGTTTAGTTCTTTCAAGGAACTGTAAGCGTAATTTCAGGTGACTCTTAGTCTACATGCAAAGATGACAATGCCCGTTTTACAACGATACCCTTAAAACTATGTCTGATCAAGTATGAATTAGATATCCATGTATTTGTGTTTAAAATTGTCATTGATCAGCTTCTAAGGGTACCGTTGTAAATCAGGCATTGTCATCTTTGCCTGTGGAGTGCCTTGAAATTACACCTGCAGTCCATGGAAAGTTCAGTTCTCCATGTTTATTGTTCAAAATAGGTTAGTAAAGTCCAATTCCTAAAATTGTGGATGCAAAATTGTTGATTTCAATAGGTTTCTCTTGATTCAAGTTTTTGAAAGCTATGTAAAGAACAATTAGTTAATAAGATAAAGGGATCAGAAAATCAGAGTTTGCGGCAAAGACTCAATTCCTTTGTATGGTTTAAGTAAAATAGTATAACACCAAACAACACTGGTAAAATTCTAAATCTTATTTTCTGACAGAATTTTATTTCTTCATTGATGATATCAGAATTTATTCTTCATCTGTTTGCATCACTTTTTAGAGTTTTTATTTCAGAGTTTCTTACATAATTAGATTAAAGATCCGGTTACTGGTTAAAAACATGAAATTCTTTTTAAAAATCTGTTCCTTCATGTTGTTAAAAATAAAAAGATCGTAGATTGCAACTTGTTAAATTCAAGATATGGTATATTTAAGAATGAAGAGAATGAAGAAAGGAAATGAAAAAAGAACGCTAAAAAGAAAAACATTTTTAAAAATAAAGGGAAAAATCGTTCATTAAACATTAAGTTGGATGAATTGATGGGTGTTTTATACGTTAAAAATATGAATGTTTCTAACACTAAACCTAATTTAAGATTTTTTCAAATTTTCATTTTAAACTGAAGCTAAAAAAGTGCTTTGCAACTTTGAAATATTCAACAAAAAGTATAAACCGGTTGTCAAGGTAAAAAAGGGACGGACCAAACTTCAAAGTCGGTTAATTAGGTCTAAAAAGTTGATCATACTGTGATAGGATTGAAAGAAATTGAGTTTTTGACACAAACTCAAATTTTCTTATACCTATATCTATACAACCTAATGGTGTACACCTTTGATATTTCAAACTTAGATTATTTGATCTAACAGATTTCATAGTTTGAAATGTCTAAGGTCTATGACATAGGGTTACAAAGATATTGGCAAAAACTCAATTCCTTTATGATCTGGGGGCATATTGAAATATATAAAACTAGCCTAATGGAGCATATCGCGACCCCCTTTAACTTTTCAATTTTCGCGGATTTTTATGTTTAAATTAGTGCATCTTAAAAATTAATAAATATTTATATTTTTTTTGGCAAAATTTTTTTAAACTGACTTTTTGCTACAAACTCTGATTTTCGCGCATTGGAACCCGATTTCGTAGAACTGTTTTGATGTTTACAAACAGACAGACAGACATGCAAATTATTTAAATATAAATTGCATTAATTGATTGGCGAGGATAGATAGATAATAAGATGTTTTAGGAAGAGGATGGATTGGATCGATATGATATAATATGATATGATAGAAGTAAGATTAGTAGCGATCAAAAGCGCTTATTTTTCGCCGTAAGCCTATACCCCCGTTCATTTTTCGCGAACACTCCCTTTAAATAATTTTTGGTCGGCATCTATGTTATAAATACAACTCCTGGTTAGTCTTAATCCCTAAGTCACATAATTATTTAAACTAGAGGGGAGGGAGGGGGGGGCAGAGTGTATGCAATTTGGAAAATTTGGAAAATATAAAGGTGGGGTTCATCTGTTCTTAATATTTTCCTGTTCTTTGTGAGAATGACACATTCTTTGTATATGGTTGTGATTCTCTCTAGGTTTAAGAATATTTTATCATAGAAAGGGACTGTCAATGTAATTTCAAGTGACCCATCACATAAGAGCGACATGTTCGATTCTCAACAGTTCCCTTAAAAGAATTGTCTTATCAAGGATTAATATGATTCCATGCTTTCTCTTTGATAAATTGGTTATTTTCAATTGCACGGTTTCTCTCGTCTTTGTTTATTTTTTCCGGTATATGAATGAGTCTGATCCAATCAGGGTTCAGTCACGTGCTTGTTGATCATTCAGAACCAATAGAAATTGAAACTGGAGTACCCATCTATCTATATCTATCTCATTATCAAATAAGAGTCAAATCCTGAAATCAGTGCCAAACAGTAAACACAAATGTGTACAATAAAACAATGGTTTTCAATAAAAGTAATATACAGGTTTGTTCCTATAAATACAATATAACCAAAAGCTACCATATCTTCTACATTTATGATCAGATCAAAGTTTGATATATACCATTGTAAATCGACCTCTTTAAATGGAGATGTATTGTAAACATCTTATCTTAATATCAGCAAATATATTTACATTAATAATAGTAGTTAACGTTAAGTGCGTCCAAGAAGCGTAACAATTATATCTTGATGATTATTCGGAGAAAATATAATTTTATTTATTCTTGTAAATAAGAAACTCTCAGATAATGATTAACTAAGTGTAAATCCTGGCTCACAGGCACTTCACACTCTAGTGATATAAGTTAAAAAATCATAGTTTAACTGAAAATATAATCATAGTTTAGCTGAAAATATAATCATAGTTTAGCCGAAAATATAATCATAGTTTAGCCGAAAATATAATCATAGTTTAGCTGAAAATATAATCATAGTATAGCTGAAAATATAATCATAGTTTAGCTGAAAATATAATCATAGTATACTGAAAATATAATCATAGTTTAGCTGAAAATATAATCATAGTATAGCTGAAAATATAATCATAGTTTAGCTGAAAATATAATCATAGTTTAGCTGAAAATATAATCATAGTATAGCTGAAAATATAATCATAGTATACTGAAAATATAATCATAGTTTAGCTGAAAATATAATCATAGTTTAGCTGAAAATATAATCATAGTTTAGCTGAAAATATAATCACAGTTTAGCTGAAAATATAATCATAGTTTAGCTGAAAATATAATCACAGTTTAGCTGAAAATATAATCATAGTTTAGCTGAAAATATAATCATAGTTTAGCTGAAAATATAATCACAGTATAGGTGAAAATATAATCATAGTTTAGCTGAAAATATAATTATAGTTTAGCTGAAAATATAATCATAGTATACTGAAAATATAATCATAGTTTAGCTGAAAATATAATCACAGTTTAGCTCAAAATATAATCATAGTATACTGAAAATATAATCATAGTATAGCTGAAAATATAATCATAGTTTAGCTGAAAATATAATCATAGTTTAGCTGAAAATATAATCATAGTTTAGCTGAAAATATAATTATAGTTTAGCTGAAAAAATTGTCCGAACTTCTTGATTACCTAATTATACTTTAAATCTTAAAGGGACTGTAAAGGAAAAATGAAAGAGGGTATAGGATGAAACTTGAGAATCTCAGGCGATGAATGATACATATAAGACATCTATCTGATGTTCCTGTCTCATGAAATTGATATAAAACTGTGTCAAAGGAATTGAGTTTTTGCCACAAACTCAAATTTTCTGATCCCATTATCTTTGCAACCTGATGGTGCAAACCTGTGATATTTCAAACTTAGATTATTTTATTTATAAGTATTAATAGTTTGAAATATCTAACGTCTACGACATTGGGTTACAAAGATATAAAAATTAGAAAATCAGAGTTTGTGACAAAAACTCAACTCCTTTATACGAAAATTCATATATAAGCAATTTTGTATAAAAGTTGTAGTATTAAACAGTTAATATTCAGCAAATACGAAACTAATCTGAAAAAGACCATATCCTACAGAAACCTGAGAATCTCAGGTTTGCTCTAGTAATAGTTATTTTATTTTCATTTTGCTTTTTTAATAGATATAATTAATTATATTATTACATTTAATCCATATAGTCCGTATTACGTCACCAAAACTTCAGCCAATGGCATTGCAGTACTCTGGTCACGTGATTTCCGTGTGTACCACGTGACAACGATTTAATAATATCAATCAATCAATATCAATATCAATCAATTATATCTATTCAAAATGCAAAATCAAAATTAAAAACTATAATAGGAGCAAACCTGAGATTCTCAGGCTCCTGTGGGAAATAAACGTTTTCTGATTGGTTACATATTTGTTGAATATGATCTGTTTAATACAAAACTTTTATACAAAATTGCATATACATGGATTTCCGCATAAATTTGACACAGTTTTATATTAATTTCTCGAGACAGTAACATCAGATAGATGTCTTATATGTATCATTCAACTCCTGCGATTCTTAGGTCTCATCCTATACCCCCTTTCATTTTTTCCTTTACAGTCCCTTTAAATAAAACAATGTTATTATAAAGAATTAAAAAATTGAGTCTTTGGCGCAAACTCTGGTTTTCTAATCAAATAATGCAAGTTGGAAATATCAAAGGTTTACGTCCTCAGGTTACACAGATATAAGAATTATAATATTTGAGTGTGAGAAAAACACTCATTTTTATGAACTTATAATAATAAGTTATTTACATTACGGTACCGTTGTAAATCAGACATTGCCCTCTTTTTATGTAAGGTCACTTGAAATTATGCTTAAAGTCTTTGTAAGGGAATTGAGTCTTTGCCACATACTGAAATGTTATAATGTTATATCTTTGCAACCCAATGTTGTAGTCTTTGAATTCTGTTAGATCAAATGATCTAAGTTTGAAATTTCAGAGGTTTATACCATCTGGCTTTAAATATACAGGTATTAGAAAATTTGAGTTTGTTTTTAAGACTCAAATCCTTTAGAATTCTCATT